TGCACTTGGTGCACATGAACCGAACCCTGGGAAGGAGTAAGTGGACCAAGTCCTTCATAGACCGGCTCTGCGGTCTATGGACCAACGCAGGCGGGTTCACCATGAACCGCGCCTCACCTGCGCCCATGGACCACGGCCCGTTGGTGGCCCAGTAAGACGACGTGGCTGCGCCACAGCATGCCACGTGGCGGGCCAAGCCCGGCCTAAATCCAAGTCCGTATCTAGGCCCAACCGGCCCAGTTTGGACCCGGCCTGGTTGAGCATTGATCGGGGCCCACATGTCAGCGACATAGAGACTCTGGACCCACATGTCAGGAGGTGACGTCATGCTGACGTCAGCGGGGCCCACCTGTCAGCCATGGTTTAGCTCTGATGATGCCATGCTGATGACATGCCGATGATGTGACCACGCTAGCGTCGGGGACTTCGGTGATCTCTCCGACCACCTCGGTGATCTCTCCGACCACCTCGGCGATCTCTCCGACCACCTCACCAGCTAATACACCACTCCAAGTCCCTACATGCCACGTGAATCAGTCATAGTGTGACACGTGTCAGCCCTGAATTAATCATCCTTTTTCAGAAATGGATTTAATCTTCGGAAATTCATAACTAATTCATACGACCTCAGAAAAATACGAAACCAGGACCAAAATTCATCTAAAATCAAGCTCTACGCAATGAACCCATGTTTGAGTGCATTTGGCTCTTTTGAATTTTCATTGCTTCTTTGTGCTATTCTATAGACGTCGCTAACGCGACTATAATTCGATCGTATGCAGACTCGGAGGAGAACCAGACGGACGAGGATCGTGAGTACCGTGAGGAGTGCGAGGGACGACTACACTGAAGGTGCCACATCCCACCCAACCTCATAGCACCTATTACGCACGGCTAATATAGAACTCCTATTGCTTTACTTTATTGTTATATTCACACTATGATATGACTTGCATGGTAGTATACTTACTTGATGACCTTTACCTTGACGCAATCTTACCCCTGCTTACCCTGCTATTAGGCTAGACACACGCTTGCTGCTATATTTCATTGCTTATTACTTCTACTACGCTTGTACTACATTGATGCATGATGGAAATTGGTGTTATATGGACTATGGGGAGAGTGTTGCGTGTGTGACTTGGGTGCGTGGAGAGTGAGGGTTGTGTCGACCAAGTTAGAATATACGACGAGCCTGGGGCAAGTCTTGCCGAAGGGTGCTACCTGGGCACCCCTGGAAATGGATACATGTGGTGGGTAAATGGTATATGAAGTGACCCTGGGTGTGAACCTGTGATGGGAGGAGCCCGGGGTGGAGGTGCTGTGATGGCACGGTAAATGGAAACCCTGATGAAGACATTCTGGCTTGGTCATCCATAAGGACTTACTAGTACTCAGATTCACCGGGAAGCCTTACGTATCACTCGCCCTATATGGTGCGGGACGGCCGGACTACTTGGTAGGATATTGCCACTACTGCTAGGTTGATAGCGGACAGTGCGAGGAGGTACGGGGCGCAGATGATTCCTCCATACCCTTCCGAGACTTCATGGAGACCTTGTGGACCCGGCTCGTGACTCACAGTTTCAGCCACCCCAGACCAGACTTGGGGTGTACCAGGGCTGAATGGTAGGGTGACATTATCCTAGGCTAGCAAGCGGCCGGAATCAGCCCAGTTGACAACGGTCAGCGAGAAAGGCGGATCTTGTGGTTATGTAAAACCTCTGCAGAGTGTATGGTTGATCGATCGATACATATGTCGATTTGTCGGCTATGGACCTTTCCTGGGTTTCGCTTAAACTAGATAGTGAGATGAGTCCTTCTCTCCTTCCCCTGTGAGAGTGTCGGACATAGCCAGGGGCTACGGGCCATGAGACAGTGCCGAGAGGGAGTTGGCCTGTCGACTGAGCGATGGTATGGTGATGGTGTGGAGATGGTGGTATATCGATCCCAGGATCGAAACCTGGCTCTGGACGGAAATAGGGTGGAATGGGTGTGGGAATGATGTTAAAACTTGACCAACTGTTCTTATATACTTGATATGCTAATACATAGGAAACCCCAGCCTTATAGGTTCCTTTTGAATATATCCAACTTGCATCCAATTTTCACAAAGCAATGCTCATAGGGTGAGAGTGGCCAGTACAAATCGTACTGATAAATTTTGGCACACAGGTTCTGCTGAGGAGTATAGTTCTGAGGAGTTTGACGGTTGAGGGGTTCGTTCCTACGCTCGAGTTTGGCGATCTTATCTTCAAGCTGTTTTGAATGAATGCTACTTTTGATTCCGCCAATGCGGCGATGTAATCATTTATGTAATTCCGCACTATTTGTACTCTGATATTATCGTTGTATGGATGTGGTATTCGACTGAAAATTTAGGTAATATGATCTACAACGATCATAATACACTTCGACTCTGTGGATTTCTCTTCGCTGAAATCCGGTCTTTTCATGAAGTGCGGCTCCTTTACCTTAGCTTACTCGAATTATAAATCCTAGCAACGCAGATGATTATAGTTCACCCTCTCAGGTTTGCCATATTCATCTCTCGTCAGGTTGGTCCAGGAGGCACTGTGATGTATCTGGGCTGGGCAGCCACAAAAGGAGAAATGAAACAGGAAAAAGGCATGTACAATGTTGTGCCCTCCCTTTAACAAGCTTGATCTCTTTGTTTTGAGTAGTAACGAGACGGATAAGATCAAACGCATTAGTGCATGTGCACACTCATTGGACCTTTTTTTTCTTGGATTGGAAAACCTCGACAACGGCATCTTGTCACATGCCTTTTCAACTGTCCAGAGTGTTGGATCCACTCATCAGCATCTTAGCGCCAACTGATACGTTTGCACACGGTGTCACGGTGTCCGCGCACTGTTGTAGGTGATTCAAGACCTGCGTGCATACTTTACTCTTAGGACATGGTAATTTGACGATTAACATAACTGTTTGTTGTTATTATTATCTCAAGGGAGCTTCTGAGAAACTTGATGCTTGAAACTAGGTATTTACTTTGGCTTGAAATATTTATAGCCAACGGCACAATAGCTATGGCCCCATTTGGATGTGCTAGCTGAAGCAGCACCGCTCGGTAAAACTGTAGAAATCAAGCAGCATCAACTGTCGTGTGGTAAAAGTGCAGCCAAGCAGAACCTATAGCCCCGAGCTCCGGACTCCTCAATGCACTATAGCACAAAAAAAAACCATTTTTCTCTTAAATAAACTAGAAGTTCGTGAAGGTACTATTTTGTCACTGGCTTCGGCTTCTCCATGTACTGCAATAAGTAGTGGTAGTGGCAGATCTAGAAACATATCTTAGAAGGGACTCATCTTCCTTATTTTCTATATTTGTCCTCTCCTTCTAAGCTTCAGTGATTATAAACTAGTAGTGGGGGCTTAGGAGGGGCTCCAAAAATCCGGCGACGGTAGCGGGGGCTCGAACCCCGGCCGACCTGATGCTAGATCTGTCCCCTGCATTAAGGAGACGGAGGCATTTGAAGCAGTGTGGGCCTATAACCTTTTTGAGTTGTTGGGCACAAATAATATATATATTGATGAAGTGGATTTTTGGTCCTTGTGTACAGTGTACCTTGTTATTTACTACTAGGTTGGGTGGCACGCTTCGCTACGCTCACTCCTGCTGCATGCGTTGTTGAAAAAAAAAGAATCAGTGGGGGCAATCTCCATGAAGCAACCATGAGCGCAACACCTATCGTGGATTCACGACACATGTCTATGCAAATGCATCTAACGCATAAAACTAGCCTAAAAGGAACCCGAGGCTCTAGATCTAGAGGTTTGTTTTTTTAGCAGACCTAGAGGTTTGTGGGCTGACGTAATTGTTGTTTCTTTTTTCTTTTTTTTTGCACTCACCTCTATATGACCCTATTCCCTCTTTCATTTTGTGAGGTTATTCATCAAGTAAAATAGACTTAAGCATTTTGCGAGTCAGAACAGACCGAAATATCCCAGCTATTTCAGGCAGAAAAAATTCCACCCATGACCATCCCACTGGTGAATCATGTCCGATGTTTTGTGCTAGACTTAGACCGTGCCTGGGCCTAGGTGGGCCGAGCGCACAATTTATATTATAAGATTAACTAAAATAAGGTTCCGTTTGGCAGGGCTTCACTTCACTAATGAAGCCATTATTTTTGCTTTAGCTCCACGAACAGTTCCACCGGTGGACCTGAAGAGGTTTTGGTAAACCGTTTGACAAAATGACTTCTCTGTGAGAGCATGTTTTTAGGGGCCTGGAGGAGGAGCCGGGAGAAGCCACTTTTTTTTCTCCATCCCACCCCAAATCATTGTGAGAGCATATTTTTAGGGGCTTCACTAGTGAAGCTATTTCACTTCACCCCGTTTAGCGGCTCCTGAAGCTGGTGGAGAAGCCCTGCCAAATAGCCTAAATATTTCAGGTCAGGCTTAGATCGAGAATTTTTTTCGGAGGCGGCGGAATCTATGCACAGGCCCTACCCACTGAGGAGGCTGTGCAGGACCGAATTTGCTCAGATCTAACGAAAAACATGCTCGGCACATTGTTGAAATTTTATTTTTTATTTTATTTTGTGTCAATAGTTGTGAGTCACTTTTGAGGAGCAGCTACATTTTGGATCACTTTGACAGCACAAGGTACTACTTTGGCAGTAATGCAGTGCAGCATAATGCTACTACGCAACATTTTGCTTTGGTTTGAGTTGAAGATTTTTTAGGTGAGCTTAGGCTTCTGCGACTACCAGTAATCAAATCAAATGGCAATTCAGTTTTTTTACTTTTATAATAAAATTTTGGAACAAGAATCTGGAAGTAAACAGTAAACCAGATATTCATGAAAATCACAACGGCACTATAAAATGGTTTCCCCTTTTATCAATAATATAAAACAAAACCTGGTAATCATCAGGTCTATCCTGCATATTACAGCGTGGCACTTCAATTAGGTTCTCTCTCAACACGGAACCGAAATTTCACTTATCCAATCATAGAAGCACGTCAAAATCTCAAAAGGATTGGGTGGTCCAGCCAAGATGGCCAAGCTGGTTCTGTTGAAATGCTCCTACTTGACTACCAGGAACCATGGCAGCCATGTCCAGGCCTAGATTTCCTGCCAATGGCGGTGCACCCGGCTGATGTACCATGGCCTGCGGGTTCTGCACCATAGTCATTGATGTTGCGTGCAGTGCATGCGCAAAGCCCGGGTACTGCAAGTGAGCAGGATGGGAAGGGGCGGGATTGAAGGCGGTGTGGCCACTGTGTGGTGGTAAGTATGCTGCATGGGGGGACACTGGTTGTCCCACCATATTGTAGAACGGTGCAGATGGCATATTGGGACTCTCTCTATGACTTTGAACCCATAAATCTGCTGTTTCAACCTGACAGTCATGGAAAATAAAAGGCTATAGTCATGCTTATAGATTACAACAGGAACCAAAGAACCTTAAGAAATAGTTAATGGTCCAGAAAAGAGTTCACACTACCTGTGGATTGGGTGCATAGAGGTTGGTGTCCTTGTATTTACTCATATTGGTATCCTCAATAGCAACTGTGCCGCCGATTACACCGTTACTGACAGGGTAACCATTATGATTTGCATAGCCATATCCAGCAGGGGCTCCTTGAAACACTTGCTTATACCGATGGTTTGATCCATATTTCATGCCATTGGCAGCTAGTTGCGAGGCTCCATTTGGCATCACCAGATAGCTGCTGGCATGTGGCAACTGAGGAAATGCAGGGTTGCTTGAATAGTTTGGGACAACCATTGGAGACCCAAACTGTGATGAGAAAACATGCCGATATGGCAAAAAGTTTGGATACTGAGGTACTTGGAATTGTTGAGAAAACATCTGGGGCACTGGTTGTTGAGTTTCTGTAGATGCAGGTAACTGATAGGCATTTACAGAATGTAAAACCATGGCCTGCCAACATAATCTCACATAAGTTGTCGTAAAGCCTTGCCAATGAACATAGGCCTGGGGCAATGGATAAGCACTAGCAACAGAATCCAGATACTAGCATGATTATTGCTCATGCAGGTTAAGAGCCAACAGCCATGCATCATACAATACAACCTCTGAAAAGACATACTAGCCTAGAGTGTAAAGTAAGGGAAATAAGGCAACTAAATATACATCCCATCTGGCACTTCATTGCAAAAACTTAGTTTCTTAGGTGCACTTGATGTTCGTAAAGGTTACTAAAGGTCCAAATATGTACTAATAATAATAGGAGTGCAAGTCCCTGACGCAACTAGATGCTAATAGGTTCTTATAGGCAGGGTCTTGAATAAATCTTCATAATGCTAAACAATGCAAATTTTATTAATCGCAACTATAAACCTACAAAAGCCTACCCCAACTTGTTTGGGACTTAAAGGCTTTGTTGTTGTTGTTGTTCTTGTATAAACCTACAAAAGGAAGACCCCGTGAGTGCAAAAGAAAGCAGAAGACAGTCAATTTCAACCTTAAAACTCTCACGCTTGAAAAGTTTGCAAACAAACGATCCAGATAAAATTACAGTTTCTAAACATATCAACCAGGAAACAGAATGTTGATCTTACCTCAGATGAATAAGCCATACTTTGGGTTGCTTCACCATCCACAACTTTAGTAATAAATGACATCCCATAACCAGAATCTGGCTCGTATGCCTGGTACATCATAAAGTGTAAGTTTAAGAAAAAAATCAAAAGTATATAAATGAGTAGTACACAGAAAGCAAATAAAATGTTGTCATATGTTTTCAAGTGAGATACCTTAAAATTCTGTGTAGCTTCCTGATGCTGGAGTCGAGGTTGAGAATGTGTGACCTTGCTTGAAATCATCTCATTTGTTCCATACTCACCAACAACACCAGGACTCCGAACCTCCACACACTCCGTCAATGACTGCTGATGTTCAGAAACTGAAACAGCAGACTCTGACTGTGGAAGTGGACTGCAGGAAACAACATTATCCATCCTACCATTAGGAGTCCCATCGGTTGATGTGGAATCCAATGCTGCCAGGCTGTAGGCAACAAAAAAAAACAAGTCTCAATTTAAAGATGAAAGAGTTTTAAGTAGACAGTCAAGAAAAATTGTCAGATGGAAACACTGGAGCTGGTACAATTGCATCTTGAAACATGCTACAAAGTATTAGTCGAAAATGCTTCGGACCTTGAAGGAGAGTGATCATTCAAGTCTTCTTTAGCCACAATATCATAAGAGGCTGCTAAAGAAGCCTTTGGATCAATTTCAGATTCAAAAGAACCAAAGATGAAATGAGTTCTTTCGGAATCTGGTATCCTGATGTGCTCCGGTATAATAACATGTTCATGTGATACATTAGCATGTGAAAGCTTCTTAGACAAAGCAGACACTTCTGTTGTACTTCCATCATCAACAGGTGATGGAGCAGCAGGAGGTGCAGCAGTAACTCCATGACTGATAGAGCTGGGGCTTACTGATTTGGGCTTCCACTCCATATGTGGGCTAACTGCATACAAGTGAGTAGTATTTTTAAACATCAATTTGCTAGACCAAGGTAAACCAATAATAAAGATGGAAAAAGCACAGCCTATCCCTCCAGAAATGCATATAAAAAAAATTCCACATGGTTCCTTGATGACAGTTAAACATTTTTCTGATTTATTAAAGGCTGGTAAAAAATTCAATAAATCTACAATGTAATCCCTTTCAGTGTGACACTGATAGCATCTAGCTTCCAAGTAGCTTAGGATAATGTGGTGCAAATGTAAAGAGAAAATATGGGTCTAATGGATGGGGAGTTCCAGAAAAAAAATGAAGTTTTACTCGGTGAATGTCTTATTAAATAAATCACTAATAATTTTCTGCATAGAAGTATAATATGAACATGCATGTTCATTCATGATGTCTTACTCTTACGGAAAAATAATTATGTGTGACAAAAAGTTGGACATAGGCATCATAATCAAGCTATTTGTTTATTTATCAAAAGATCAAGATTTGTCGTCGTATGAAGTTCCCAGGGAAATGCTAACCTTTTGTATGACTAACATGATGAGATTGCTTATTGCTCAAAGGTACAGGCAAATTAAAACGGATATTTCTCAGAGAGACACTAGAGAGTCCAGATTGTTGCTCTTTTGAAGGATTATTACCCTTTGGTGCTGATACCACTTTGACTAAGCCATTAGAAGCAGATGTGTTTGTTGCTGCACTATTAGATGGCCTTTGCCTAGCACCAACTACTCCAACTTCACGCTTTATGGCTCCAAAAGTTCCAGCTAATTTAGAACCAGGAGAGGGTACATGGATTGGATCTGATGAAGAACAGCAAAGTTCACCACCAAAATTATTTTTCCCTGATGCTGCAGTGTCCACCGTGTTCTGGTTGCCCTTTCCAGAAACTGCATGAGAACCAACCAATGATGCTTGTCCCCCTTCAGACTGTTCCAACTTTAGGACAATAGAAGGCTTGACTTCCTTATCATGGGCTTGAGTAGCACTTTTGATACCATTGTCAGCATGAGCTGCTCCATGCCCATTAGCATTGCAAATAACCAAGCAGTGTTGGGCAGCTAGCTTTTCAGTTGAGCTTCAGAAACAGGATAACGACATATATGAACAGATGTGATACTGGTGAAAATGATGCAGCAAAGAAATAAAGCAGCTATCAGATCATAAAGCAGAGAAGCCAATAATGCTAGTAAACAACATACACTAAAGCAACGCAAACAGTTAATAGAAATATGTTGATAAAACTACTAAAAACATGAAGAAATGAGGACTGCCACTTGGGGGTGGGGTGGGTGGGGGGTGGGGGGGAGGTTCACATATAGCAGCCATATAAAAAATACAAATAACACAGATGGAAGAAAACAGTGCATAAGATTAAGAATCCACAGCTATATCCATAGTTTTGTGTTATGCAATTATCTTGAAATAATGCAATATTTTCTAATAGTGAGTACCGCTACAATGTTCCATTTTTTACATGGAAAGAAGAATACAAAGGGCCATAGAGGACGACTGGCATACTCTACCTTTTATCTCTAACATTTGAAACAGCACATTCATTGCTAGAATCGTCATTCTGAGATGCTTCTGGCAAAGTCTCACTAACTTTTTTCAGTTTAATTCTGTTATCTTTGACGATACGAAATTCCTGTGTGACTCCTGAAAGTGTCCAATGTCAAAAGGTTAAAAGAAGCTTTATTCCAAAATGCTGGATTAATAAACACAAGTGACGAATCATAATAACTTTTGTACTTCAATGTTTTAAACATATAACATAGGTGCTAGTTACTGATATACAACATAAGAATGAAGCATCTACTGCTGCCTCAGAATATATAGCCATAACCACTGTGAAAAGTTAATAGATGTTACATAAGAATGCTATGCAAGTACAAGAGGTCAAGAACTTCCATCTTGCCATAGTATCCACATATGTCAATGTTTTATCTGAGTAAATAATGTTCCATATGTTTAATGTGTTTTATGAAAACATGGGTGGTGGCTAGAAGGCTAAGAGCAGAAGCAAATAGGTTGCTAGGTTGAAAATAACTCATGTGCAACAGTAGCAACAGTAAAACTGAGCAAATCAAATAAAAAAAAAACTCCGGCTTTATGCAGAAACGTGCTACACATTATAGGCATCTGTTTTACAACCAAAAAATCACCATGCATGCCACAGGCTCACATAAGAACATATCTAGAAAATTATTCTCAGAACAATCAGCATTAAAAAGGTGAACTGAAGGATTAGTATGGTCAGCGATAGCTGTACTTGAAAAATATATTACAGCCTTATAGGGTATTTTCTGTTTGGATGAGTCATCTTGTTTTATTTTGTAGACTAAATTAAAAGTTCAAACCACTTTATTTGGCCTACAAACTTAGATCTGACGTGGAAGTGTGAGCTAGAGCCTTGACAAGCAAGGCCTAAGATGGTACCATTAATGTCCGAGAAAATATCAGCTTGATCTTGGATTTACACAACCTATATAAATCATAAATACAAATAAAAAAGGGAGGCAATCTTCTGGCTAGGTCAAAATTTTCACATAATAATGCTTCCAAAAGAACTGCAGAAAATATACTCTGCTGTTCTCTATGAAACTAAAACATGCCATTTTATTTTGTAAGCATATTGCATACGAAGGTTTACCAGGCAATGAACTTCGAGAGTAACCTCCTCTAGTAATATTTCTATTGAAAACTCTTCCAGGTCTTGCCCATTCTGTTTTCCTTTCTTTTTGCACCCTGATAGCATTCGAGCCTTGCTGACTTATGTTCTGCAATGGTAGAACAAACTAAGCATGAGATGAGACATGGTAACAGTAGTTACAACTCATTCAGATGATATTTCAATAAAAAACAAACGACCAGACAGAACAGCAGCAACCGGGAAAATAACACATACATCTTTATTGCTGTCATGACGCTTTGTGCCGTTATGAAAATAATCTGCATGGGGCATCAAGCAATAGTTAGCACTTGTGGCATTCCAAAACACTGAATGTGCTCATAGTCGTAGAACAAAAGAAAACATCTATCCCCTAAAGACCAATGCTCCAATGCATAGAGTAAATATCTAGGCCTTGGCATTAACAATTCCTATTCCCAACTCTATTCCCAGCTCCAGTGGTGTGGGTAAAACAGGGCACGGAGGTGCAGTTCGGGCTGAAAATTCAGAAGAAGGTGATAATACTAGTGAATAGTACTTTAGGTTAATTACGCCACAGGACAGTGTCGGGTGAATGCAACACACGGCGACCAATCTCGCGCACAAGCACAATCAGGAGAGCCGAATAACAATGGAGTTTATTATATCCCACAGGGGACAGCGCCACAAGCCAACAACGCGAATTCGCCGTAACTAAACAGATGGATCGGAGTATCCATCCATCCCTCGCAGGACAGGAAGTAGGGTTAGGTCCCGATCGCTATTAGTTCGAGAAAGAGGATTCAACAAATTAGAGCGCGCAATCCGAAGAAGGCTAGGGCTCACCGACAAAGCCGGAGGGGCCTCCCCTCGATGCCATTACAGGAGACGAGAGGAGGGGAAGAGGGCGACGACGACAAAGCCGAGTCCGGCGTGTGTGGTCTCGCTGGAGGGAGGCGGCGGGCGTGGGCAGGGGAGGAGGCGACGAGAGGAGGGTTCTGCCTTCGGCGGCGCGGGAGGCAGGGATGGCTGGAGCGGTGGGGTTTCGCCCTGGCCCTTGGATGACGATGGCGTGCGAATACGATAGAGACTTCATGGGGAAGTGTAGTGATTGGGCCTCCCAGACGTCTCGAGGCCCAAATGTACATTGCAATGAATTTGGTTGGGCCGAAAAAAGATGTGTAATTTCATCTAAGTTTCTTCACCAACAAATAACAAATATATCCTCGACTCCTCGTGCCTTATCCGGCTTTTCTTATAAACTTTTCAGATCTAAATTCTTTTTAGAAATATTACTCTGCTAAAATAGAATTACTTGCAACAATCAGTTAAATCATTTAGTTACTAATAAAGATTTGCCGTGAAATGAACTAGAACCACTGTGAAACTATTTGGGCGATGTTTCTAGTTCAAAACATAGAATCGCTTTCGGATGCTCCATGACAAAACACATTCCTAAATAGGGTTTAGTTTATACTCTCATGACCAAAAGGACCTTAGAGCATCTCCAGCAGTACTATCTAAATCAAACTACCTAAATGTCTGTTTAGGTAGCTACCTATTTTTCTATTACCCAAATTTTGCTCTCGACTCAAGCAGTACTACCTAAAACAAACTACTCAAACCCATCCTCGTAGAGAATGATAGGCGGGTCCCACATGTCATTCTCTCTTCCGTCTTCTTCTCCATGGATGAAGTTGTCACCGGAGGAGGGGAGGAGGGGCGGGGCCGGTGGAGGCGCGGCCACAGTCGTGGAGGCCGGATCCGCCGCGGTCCGGCCGGAGGTTGCGCCGGGAAGCCGCCTCCCACCGGTGCCGGGGAAAGAGGTCAACGCACGCCGGGGAGGGAGTGCCACCGCGATGGGGAGCAAGGCCCCCGCACCGGTGAGCAGGGGCCGCCGCGCGCAGGGGTAGGGCCGCCGAGGATGGTAGCGCGACGGGGAGGGAAGACTGCGGGCATGGAGTCGGGCGGTTCCAAGCGTGTCGTGAGGAAAAAGGGATGGAGAAAAATAGATAGCCGGATTTGTTGGCCCAATAGATGTAGGTAGTAGGAGGGGGAATTACTTAGGCCAACAAAAGTAGGTAATCTGATAAGGTAGCCTGCTAGAGTGCGTTTTTGGCACATTTGCTAGTATATCAATATATATATATATATATACCAATATTAAACAGACTTGATAACGCCCGGATGTTGTAACACCTCTGGTGTTTTGACCTAGCACTAAAATTTGATATGTCATCATATGCATTGCAAAGCATTCATGGAGTAGAAAATTTTGAATGCATTCACTAAATAAGCTTTATTTCATAATGTTGTTATTTCATGTGATGTGTTTCAAAACCCTAAATAAAGATCATGACCGCAAGGGTTAAATTTCATGTGATCATGTGAGGCCATGTGTCTTTTGACTCAAATAACCCTAATGGGCCATGTTACTGGTCAAAAATCAAAGTTAAAGTAAAAAAAGACAAATCAAATTTGAATTCAAATTCAAATTATAAAAGTCCTTTTTGCCCCTTTTGACTAATTCAAAATCCATGTGGAATTTGGGGTTGGGGCAAAAAGCAAAGTTGAAGATTATTTTATGTGGATCAACTTTGGTATTCAAAGTTTTTCAAGTTTACATATAAAATTTGGAGTAATTTTGAAATGATTCAAATACTCAAATGCACACCAAATTCAAATTTCAAAATGGAGGCAGAATTTGAAAATGTTCATTGAAGCAAAGTTGTAGAGTTTGAAAAGTTGAGCAACTTTTATTTTTGGAGATTTTCAACTTCTTTAGAAAATTTGGGAGTACTTTGCAAAATGAACTCAGTGGCAATTCTGTAATTTCTCGGAACAGTAGCCGACCACCGCCCCACCGCCGGCGTCCTTTCTCCGGTCTTCCAGGCGCGTCTGCGACCGCCCTTGGCTTCGCGCTGGCACGGGGAGCACGCTGTGTGTCGATTCCGCGCGCTCCTAGCCGAGCTATAAGACCCGAGACGTCGTCGCTTCGCTTTTTTTTTCCTCTGTTTTTCCCGACGCCGCCTCATTCCCGCGAGCTCTCCTCGCTTCCTCAAATTAAACCAGCTTCGACAAAGCAGTGTTCCAACTCCGTCTCTTCCTTCTGAACCCATCCCACCAACTGAGGTTGTCTGAGTCCACCGAGCACCGCCGCTAAGCGACTCTTCTTCTTCCTCGCGTTGGCGACCTCGATCAAAACTCCGATTCATCTGCTGCCAGGCGTCATCCGGAGTCATTACCCTTGCTTGTGGTCTCTACAGCCATCTCGACGTGTGATGCTTAATCCGTTCTTGCTTGGTCGTTTTGCTCATCAGAGTCACCGAAACTCCGTCGCCGACGAAAGTTTGCTCCGCCGTGTGACCATCACACCGTCGACCACGTCACCGTAGCTCCTCCGGGTCTCGTTCTTTGCTTCAACAAGTTCGGGGTGAGCTACTGATCCTTTCTAAGTCTTTTGTTTGATCTCTCTTCGGCCTTGTTTCGCCGGCGTAACGCCATGCGTGCCACCGCTGTCTCGCCATGGCGGTGTCACCTTATTCCATGCCGTAATCAACCTCCAAAGTGCCAATAATCGATGCGCCTAGCTCTTGTGAACATGTTAGTGCTTTGGCTGTCGCTGTTGGGCTCATCATCGGTGAGTTTGCGTCGGTCAGCGCCGTCGCAGCCACGGTCAATGCCTGAGGTTGGGGATGATAGGTGGGGGCCGGCTGTCAGTGAGAGCAAGCGAGAGAATAGTGTTTTTTGTGAATTTCTGATTTTAAATAGTGCTGAATCTTTGGAAATTTGTAGGAAAATAATCATAGCTCCAAAAATTCTGAAAAATTTTGCGTAGCTTCTATATATGCTCTAGTATGGTTTAAAAATTGGAAACTTGAAATTTGAATAAATTTTTAATGTTGAAATATTCAGTCCATTAATTAATAAATGTAATTTCCATGATTTTTGTAGGCCACTGTATAGCTCCAAAAATTATGAAATTTATTTTGGTACACTAATTTGTTATGAGGAAGCTTACATAAAATTTTGAGGTCATTTGGAACAAGTTTATTTTTGGGCTTATTTCAAATTAATTAAAAATTGAATAAAAGCAACCCTAATTGTTAGGATTAGGGTTTAATTTTTGTTTGGGTCATGTTGTGTGACCAATAGGGTTTCAAGATCAGTTTGGTCAAGTCACATGTGTGATCATTGACGGTAGATTTACAAGTTGGTTTTGTTGGCTTGCAACTGTACCGTGAAGGAAAATCGTATTCGGGGTGTTGTTACATTTCATGTACCGTGAAAGCATCATGTTTGCATTATCATCATGTTAAAGCATATGTTATCATTTCGTGTAGAACCCGAGAGTGAAATGATTCTAGTTGAGCAAGTTCTAGAAGAATCTCCGGTTGTCGCGGGATTTGGTAATTGTGGTACTGATCCGGAACCTGAGATCGTCAACGAAGACAAGCCCTGGTTTTTGCATTAAACCATTACCTTGTTTACTTTGAAAAGTTTATCACCTATATTACTTATTGCATTAAGTTGATTTACTTCAAATGTTACCTACTTGATGCATTGCCTACCTTGTTGATTGTTTACCATCCTTGAAGATGATTTTATTTACAAAGGCGTAGAATTGCTTAGTATGCTTTATGGTAGGTTTTCAAAGTAAAAGTTTTGATACAATCAAAGATGGCATACTGGCCAAAGAAAGAAAGAAAGAAGGTAAAATGAACTAGAGACTAGTCGGGTGACTTATCTTGAATGTTGGGTAATGTTGCCGACTATGTCGCTTAAAGGCCACTCATTGTGGATCTTCTGAACGAGACACTTTGTAGTACTGGTCACATACTCTGGTAAGCCTACTTCGGCTAATCTGATACTAAGACGAATGCCCACGCATTGGGAGTGGTGAGATGGCGGGAGTAGCGTGTACCCTCGTGGCTTGAATGTGGCCGGATTTGAGGCGTGCTGTGCTCTCGGGTGGTGTGGAGACGACTTAGTACGGGAGGATCCGGTAGCGAGGTTGATATATGCAAGATTAAGTTCTACATATGTCGTGTGATAAGGAATCCCCGGCTGGGACTTGAATCAATTCGAATTGCCGGTGCTCCGTGGATATGGAGACTCGGTTCATTATAGAAGCAACGTAGGACTGGTGAATTATTAAAACTTGAGAAAATGAATGGAATGAGAAGGATTGGAACATGGGATATGAACACTTAGTTTGAGATATTGAACTAAAGTACTTAGGGGTAAAACTTGAAACTAGGATCAAGAATAGTAAGCTTTTGGCAAAGAACTTTTAAATCTTTCTACATCCTTACCTTGACCCAACACCTGCATCTCTAAGACATTCGCCCTTTTTGGTCGGGTCAGTCTTGTTGAGTACTTTTGTATTCAAGGTTTGTTAACCCTTGTTGTAGGTGAGTCGCATGCGCAGGCTTGTTTTGGTCCCTGCTGCATGTCAGTGTTTGAAGTCGATGACAATGAGGAATGATGAATGGCCTTTGGACAAGACACTAGTTTGTGTGAAATAAATAATGTTAATGTAATATTATCCCGCTACTATGGTTGTATAACACTTATGGTTTTATAAGTTTGAAACAACTGGTTTGTAATATCAAAACTTAAGTCTTCCGCTTTATAATTTCTGGTATGTATATTGAAAACTGTTGTAATCTGCAATGACTGTGATTGGGATCCTGTTTGGAAAAGATTCGTGGATGATTCAGGTTTCCCGAGGACACCCGACAGATCTGTTAATTTGTTGGAAACTTGTGTACGCTATCTGAGGTCTGTTGAGACATCGATAGGTGCACGTGGGCCCGATTTCTTAGGAGGTTCTGCCACAGCTGGTATCAGAGCAGGTCCTATCTAAGATCATTGTAG